CTAAAAAGTAAAAAAATTTCTTAAAATATTAAAAAAATTCAGTAAAAACAAAAAAACACAGAAAACAAGAAAATAGAATTTTCTGAAAAGAGTTTTTGGAAAACTCTAACCAAGCATGCTGATTAGTTTTTTTTTTTTTTTTTTTGCACACTATTGTTTTTTAGTTTTTTCAATTTGAATGCTGTGTTTTAAATTTTTAAAAATTAAAATAAATGTCAAACCATCATATCATTATTTAAATGACAATTCCAACTATTAAAATTTAATGGGACTTTAAGGTGTAAAAAATCTTAATTAAGACTTAATAAGTATAAGTTCATAAATTAGAACTTATGTGTAAAAGCTCTAATAAAAATTGAGTATAGGAGCATTTCTTATAAAGTGTTACTTTTGGAGAAAAAAATGAGCATAGAAGCTTTCCACGAGTGTTTCTTTAGGTAATTGTTGATGGGAGAAAATATTGGAATATGACATTATTGAAATTGTATGATTATGTAGATTTTATATATATATATATTTTTTAATAAGAAATTTGCTGGTTCGTTTTACAATCTTTTATCTGTTACATTTATACACAACACAATCCAATATCCACAATCTAATGAAAAGTATCACTGAATCATATTATAAAATGCATCCATAATTTATTATTCCAAATAGAAATGTATATTCATACAAAGAATAACAATTATTCCAATTATTTGCTGGTAGCTTATTCAAAAGTCCAAGATTACCTATGCCTTTGGAGCTGTGACATTTACTTCGTTTTCGTCAAATTTAAAATTTTGAATTAAATTTCCATGACTTGACAACATTTTTTTCAAAAAACGCACCAGTTGAAGCAGAGAAGCCAAATGTAACCCATTCGGTCAAGTAGTCCCTTAGATCAACCTTGAAATAAAGGCCTTGTCTGACTATGGCATTATTGATAGAGCTAGTGACAACAACACTCAATTTTTTGACTTAGAGCGATAACTAATCACAGCTTGATTTTCTATCCCATGAGTTATGTTATTGTACCATACTTTAGTCACATTAGACTTAATAGAGTTGATATTGATACCGAGATGAGTAACAGGAGTGATGTTTTGTGGATCCCAAGAATTCTGATAAGTGTCAAACACCACAGCGGCAAATGGGCTAGTGGGTACCAATGTCGATGGGTCGATTGGAAGCCCAATGGCTCCGCCCGCGGTGGTGCCTGCGGTGCTGCTGGAATCGGAAGGTTCAAGGAAGAATGCAAGCCCATCTCCGAAACTTGAACTTCCATTCGAATCAATCACGAAGCAGAAATAGGTGGTGAAGTCCGTCAAGTTGCCGGAAACTTTGTCCCAGAGGTGAAGCGGTTTGACATAGGTGGCTTTGCCGGCACTTTGCTAGAAGTTGGTATCGTGCTCACGGTCTGCGAGGTGGATGCCTTCAGAGGAGATGTAAGCATCCCCGTCAGTTGTTATGTCGACATTGAGATTTTGTGATTGATTTTGGCGATGTTGAAGTTTAGTGCAGTTGCACAAGCTTGTAAAATGTGATAATTGAGAGACAAGAAAGTTGAATGTGTGATTGGAAAGCCATTATTGTTATGATAGGGAGAAGTATGTAATTTGGGGTATAAATAAGTATTTCATTGTTTGAAACAAAGAACTAGTAAACATCGGCTACAAAGTTTAATATATATGTTTTTATTTGCAACTTGTGATGTGTTTACTTTTTCATATGGTTGTTCTTTCGTCACAAAAAACTAGTAAACGTCGGCTGCTAAGTTTAATATGTTTTTATTTTCAACTTGTGATGTGTTTACTTTTCATATAGTTTAACATAGTCATGTCTGTTGAAGTTTACAATGCCAATCTAAAATCTTATCTTATCTTACTAATTATAAAAAATGGAAGTGGCAAAGCGTTTCCAGAATACCCTTTAAAAAAACAAAAAAAAAAAAAATATATATATATATATATATATATTACTGTTTTTAAATTAATCCAAACGAAATGGCATAATCAAACGCCACATCAAAAGCAAAAGGGCATAATCCAACCAACAGTGTTATTAAACCAAACCAACACCATATTAACTCAAATTCAAACCAGGTAAAAGCAGGCATCGCCAACAAAACTCGGGGACATCATTTTCATGCTACACGAAACTCTCAAATCTCATCATTACTTCCGAAATAACAACAGGGTAATATTCAATAACATTACAAACCTAAGTTTATGAACTTAAGATATATCTAGAAATAGTTTATAGTAATACCAAGGTATGGCTGTGACTGTTGAGCGTGGAGAATGGATTCCGGTGGTGAAGCAAAAAGGGAAGCAAGAAGCAAGGAAATCAGTGGGCAGTGCAGTAGTTTTCACGGTGTTTGTAGATAATCTACCTAACTCAATGAATACCAAAGGCTCGTTTAACCTGTTCGGGAAGTTTGGAGTTGTAAAAGATATCTTCATTCCACAAAAGCGTCCAAGAAACACCAACACTAGATTTGGATTCGTGAGATATAGCTGTGAAGTAACAGCAAGCGTTGCTGTGCAAAAGGCTAATGGTCTATGAATGGATGATAAAAAGTTATTCATGAAACTTCCAGCTTTCGAACGAAGTAGAGAACAGGGGAAGTACTATGCCCAAAAACCACAGCAAATACACCCCAGAGAGGAAGTTCCGAGAGGCTCATATCATTTCACCAACAATAAAAGTTTTGCTGACCTGGTAAGAGATATTAAGGTGCAGGACAGAGACTCCATTACAGTTAAGGCCAAGGAGCATGGTAATGGGTGGCTCTACGACAGTGTCTTAGTCCGGCTAAAAGTCAGATATGTTAACATTAGTTTGAAGTTCGAGCTTAATGCTAGACGAATTGATGGGTTTGAAGCCAGAAAAGGAGGCGGTCGTGATGTGGTGTTATCTTTCAAGTCCAAGGAGGAAATGGTAACAAAGATGGAGACCATCAAAGAAATTATCGATGAGTGGTGTGAGGTCATCATCTAATAGAGGCCAGAGCTTGCTCTGGCACAGGAGAGACTAGTATGGATTACCTGCTATGGCATTCCATTACATTTATGGAATAGGTCCAATCTTGTTAAGATTGGTAGCATATGGGGTGAAGTTATTGATGGTACTGAATGCATGCCTCAGTCTTTCGACTGTGGTAAGCTTAGGATTCTTACCAAGTGCATGGAACCTGTTAAGCACTCCTCTCATCCAGTGAGAGTCTTGGAAGTTCAGGTCCTTGAAGCAAAAATAATAAATCAGTGCTGTAGCTGTTTAAATCATCTAGATCAGATGAAGGAACACAGTCCAGAGGAGGAAGATGAGGATCATGACTCCAACAGAGTTGGTAAGCCACTACAGAACCTCAAAGATGAGTCAACTCAACCCAAAGAAGGTGGGTCAGCTCAGGGTTCTGAGCAATTCAAAAATGAGGCCAGACGATTGTTGACACGTGGGGATGGCAGTATAATAGGGGCAAAATGGAAGAGTGATATGGAAGTGACTGAGTCTAGCAACATAGTAGGCAAGGAGCTCGAGGTTGAAGCATGTAAGGAACTGGTGGCAGGTAACAGTGCATTTAATGCCTCAAAACCAGCTGATCAAGGTAATGATGGGCAAATCTTCACGCCTGGTTGTATGAGAAGCATGAGTGGATCTAGTCTAAATTTATCTGGGCTGAACTTGGAAATGGACTTGGGCCATAATAGTTTAAACCATGTGGTGTTAGGCCATAATAATTTAAACCATGAGTTGTGTGGGCTGACTGATGTTGGAAAGGCAGCTTCTACTGAGAATGACAGCCCAGTTGAGGAAGTGGGTGGTCCTGATGATGAGCTTAGCAGCAGTGAAGTTGAAGAAGAAGTTGCCCAACCTAATGTAGCTGCTTGGGCCAATAATATTAAGACCCAATGGAAGGAAACTAGTAGGCCAAGATCAGAGAAGGAGATAGCCAACACTGCTGGTACCCAAGGTAGATTCTGGAAAAGAAAAGGAAAATCGGGGGCTCCCTTCAGAAAATCTGGATGGATGAACAGATTAGCAGTAGACAAAGAGATGGGTGGGTTTAGTGGGACGGTAGTAGCAGAGTCAGACGGTGTATTGGCGAAGGAGCCCGTGGTAGAAGCATGCCAAGTAAGGAAAAATGTGGGTATTTCAAAATCTAGCTTTGTGGACAAATGTCAGCAGTGTTATGATCAGGTGTACACGCCTGGGTATATGAGGAGCTTAAGTGAGTCTAGCCTACTTAAGCCTGGGCTAAATCTAGAAGTGGTTTTGGGCTGTAATATGGGGTCTACTGGGCTGGGGGGATTGCCACTCTTAACGAGTGGGCCTACTAATTAGGTTCTCCAAACAAACGTGTGGGCTGAGGTAGACGGGCCAAGTTTTAGCCAGATAAGGGGCTCATCAGCCCTGTTGAACAAGGGACTGAACAAGACAGTAAGTTTGAGGAAGAAAGGCAATAATAATTGGAACCGAAAAGGGAAAGGTAAGATTCAATCTCAGAAAAAAGGTTTTTTTGATCTTGTGAGTAGGTATGGCTCTAAGGGAGCATCATCCAGCAAGCAAGTATCAAAGCAGTCAGTATTTAGGGGCTCAGTTGCGGAAGCTTCAATATCAACCTCCATTGACAGTGGGAATGCTGCAGGTAGAAGGATCCTTAGTGAGGCTCAAGCAACAGTACAGATGGGAGCATTGTTGGGTCTGCAGTATAATGGGAAAGAAGCTGAAGTTACTAACCAAATTGTGGAGCTCGAGAGGAAAGATAAGGAAAGAATTGGAGGAGTGAATGGGCCAGCTGCATAGAATGCAACCATGAAGGGGTTATAAGGTGTGTTGTTTGTTTCTTGATGAAGATATTAGTATGGAATATTAGAGGTGTTGGTAGGAGTGTAAAGAAAAGTAAGATCAAGAAGCTGCTTAAGGAGAGAAGTATAGATATTGTTTTCTTTCAAGAAACTAAGAAGGCCGATATCACAGATCAAGAAGTTAGAGCAATTTAGGAAAGGGATTCAATGGACTTTATGGCAGTGGGCTCAGAAGGATCTGCTGGTGGACTTCTTTGTATTTGGGATCCTCAGGTTTTCCATTTAGTAGATTGTTGTAGCAATAGGAGATTTATTCTGCTTTCTGGTTTGTTGTTTAATTCTTTTGATTGTGTTATTGTAAATTTGTATGCACCTAATGAAGTGGGAGATAGAAGGAAATTTTGGGAGGGTTTGTCTAAGCTAAAGAATGATTTTCCTAAACCATGGTGTTTATGTGGGGATTTTAATCAGACCAGATTTGTGAGTGAAAGGAAAGGTTATAATAGGAAGGATAGTGGGATGTCAGATTTGAATGAGTTCATTGATAAGTGTGAAGTGAACGATTTACCATTGTTGGGTAGAAAGTTCACCTGGTGTAACTCAGCAGATGGTCAAAGGTGGAGTAGAATTGACAGGGTTTTGGTGGATCCAAATTGGTTGGAGGTGTTCAAGTTTAAATTGTGGGGCCTGCCTAGGCTCATTTCTGATCATTGTCCTCTGTTAGTGATGGAGGATGATAGGGACTGGGGTCCTAAGCCATTTAGGTTTGTAAATGCATGGTGTTTGCACCCTTTTTGTGCTCCTCTTGTAGATAAATCTTGGAAGGAGGCTGTGGTTCATGGTTGGGCTGGCTATATATTACTCCAAAAATTGAAAGCCTTGAAGCAGATCCTCAGAATATGGAATAAGGAGATTTATGGTAATGTGTCATTTAAATTGAAAGCTGCAGAGGAGGAGAAGCATAATCTTGATCTTCAAGCTGAAACCAGGGACCTTACTCAAGCTGAGATAATTAGAAGAAGGGTAGTTAGAGAGGAGGTTTGGAGGTTGAATAGGATGGTTGAATGGATGTGGCTACAAAACTCAAGGTTGAGTTGGACATTGAAGGGGGATAGGAATACCAGATTCTTCCATGTGATGGCCAGGAGCCGTCAAAGTAGAAATGTGCTAACATCCATTACAGTAGGGGATTCAGTGGTAGAGGATCCTTATATGTGAGGAGGGAAGTATTTGAGCATTTTAGGAAACATTTTACAGAGGAGTGGGTGGTTAGGCCTAAGTTAGGTGGCTTGTTCAAATTAGTCCACAGGAGTCCTTAGGTTGAAATGCTTGAAGCAGAGTTTTCTGAGGAAGAGATTAAAGCAGCTGTGAAGAATTGTGATGGTAATAAGGCTCCTGGGCCTGATGGCTTCAACATGCTTTGTTTTCAAAAATTCTGGAAGGTGATGAAAGGGGATGTGATTAATTTTATGAAGGATTTCCATAGAAATGGTAGATTGGTGAAGGGGTTGAATAACTCTTTTATCACCTTGGCTCCTAAAAAGGAGAACCCTATGGGATTATCTGAATATAGGCCCATTAGCCTGGTTGGTTCAGTGTATAAAATTTTAGCCAAGGTTTTGTCTACAAGGCTAAAAGTTGTGCTTCCTAGTGTTATCAGTGATACCCAATCAGCTTTTCTCGAGGGGAGAAATATTCTTGATGGTGTACTTATTGCAAATGAAGTGGTGGATGGGTGGAAGAAGTCTAAAAAAAGGGGTGTGATAATTAAACTTGACTTTGAAAAGGCTTTTGACTCAATAAATTGGGGATTTCTGCACTCAATGCTTCTGAATTTTGGGTTTGGTGTAAGATGGTCAGAATGGATTATGGAGTGTGTTACCACAGCTCGTGTTTCTGTCCTGGTCAATGGTTCTCCAACTAATAAGTTTTTTCCGCAGAAAGGGTCTTAGACAAGGAGATCCATTGTCTCCTCTCTTGTTTAACTTGGTGGCCGAGGGTTTGAATGTGCTATTAAATAGGGCATTCCAGCTAGGTATTATTAAAGGGGTGAAAATAGGGGTTGGGGATGTGGTGTTGTCTCATTTGCAATCTGTTGATGACTTCTTATTGTTATGTGAAGCTGAAGAGGAGGAGGTTAGTAACCTTAAGAGGATATTAAGGTGCTTTGAGGTTATGTCTGGGTTGAGAATTAATTACCATAAAAGTCAGGTTTGTAGAGTGGGTGTTGCTGATAGTTTATTGGGCAGATTTGCTGATATTTTAAATTGTAAGACCAAGAAGTTGTCTGTGCAGTATTTAGGGCTGCCCTTAGGGGCTAATCCCAATTGTAAAGCTACTTGGAAACCAGTGGTGGAGAAAGTGAGAAGCAGATTAGCTAGTTGGAAAAGGAAAACTCTATCTCATGCTGGTAGACTCACTCTAATTAAATCTACTCTTGCATCTTTGCCCGTGTATTATATGTCCTTGTTCAAAACGCCGGATGGGGTAGCTAGAATTTTGGAGACCAGAAAAGAGGGATGAAAGCAAACTCCAAGGGAAATCACCAGACAAACAAGAGAAATTACAGACTCCTCCCTCTAATGCAGCATCTCACTTGCCTAAGATTAACCAGAAAATCCTGCACTGAAAAATGGTGCTTAGAGAACCTTGGTTTCAGCCATAATGCAATTCTCACCTTAATCACTTCACACAGCTCCTCCAAGTTTGGAGCAGATGCATTAAACACTATAGCATTCCTGTGTTGCCAGATAGACAAAAAGCACAACCAGAGGCACTCCTCTCCAGATCTTCCTCTCTTGACTCCTAATTCGTTGTCCTTCCAATCATAATAAAACTCCATCAACAAATTCAGGTAGAGCCCCAATAACATCCCACCACAGTAGCATTGCATACCACACCTTCCAAGCAAATGGGCAGGAAATCAACACATGATTCACAATTTCGAAGTCACCAGTGCAGAAGACACACAGAGATGAAGCAGAGCTGTTAAGGGCACCAATTCTTTGTAAGTAAACTGCAGTCTTAACTCTATTTCGCCATGCTAACCAAGTAAAGAATTGAACTTTTGGTGGCAAGTAAGGGATCCACACTAATTTAGTAGACCATAACAAAGGGCCTGCTGAAGCCAGCAAACCAATATAAGCAGAGCAAACAGAGAATACCCCAGAGGATGTTGCATTCCACACTGGGCAATCTGATTGATCTGGAACAGGACAAGGTGTTGCTGCCAGGAAGTTTCTAAGTCTGAAAACCTCACTAACCTCCCACTCATACAACCTTCTTCTGAACTGACATACCCAATTACCTTCAGCAACCTTTTGGTCATGCATTGATCTAAGTGACTCTTCTTTATTCACCACCAACCCATATAGATCCGGAAATTCCTCTCTAAGACTTGTCCTATTCCACCATTTGTCCACCCAGAATCTAACATTATTCTCAGCCCCAATCTTAAGCTGAAAGTTATTCATGTAATACTCCAAGAGGGTGTTACTAAACTCTGCAATGGTAACTATACCTTTCCACACACTAGACATTCTACTGGTGGTAGAAGTGGAAGGAATCCAATCCCTGAAGTCCACTTTGTACTTACTGCAAATAACTCTTCTCCACAAGGCTTCCTTTTCATATCCAAATCTCCACCAGTAAACAAGAATTTACCACCCTCACTCTTCTCAGTCCCAAACCCCCTTGCTCCAAGCTTTTAGTCAGCTCCTCCCATTTGACCTTATGAACCTTTCTTCTAACTTCTGGTTTTTTGCTTATTCTTGTTCTGCATATTCTCTGTTTGGAATTGCAGCTGGGTTTTTCTTGTTCATCTGTATCTGTTTTCCCTTCAGCTGGTGCCTTACCATCTGGGGGGGGCTCTCTCTTTGTCTTTGCTTGTTCTTTATCAATAAAATTCTTCTTTTGGCTGTTTCAAAAAAAAAGATATATCTAGAAAAAAAATAAAATAAATAAGTGGTTCAAATTTATTACTTATGAACCCACATTTCATCAATTTAATCTCTACCACACAAAATATTTAGGATAAATTATAGGTTGATAAAGATGGATTCATAACATTTTTAGACAAGATTTCCTTTTAATAGCACGTAGTGGTAATGGTCTACTAATAGCACAACTCTGTTTCGCAAATTTTTAGTTTAAAGTCTCTTCTAAATTGTAACCCTTCCTCATCTTCCCATAAACTTCTTCACATGCAAAAAATTTAATAATACACTATAAAAAAATGTACCATATGTTTCAGTTATAACTTCTTGTGATCTTTGGCTATAATTTATTGTAGTAATTATGATTTGATTATACTTTATTGTGATATTGGTTAATATTAGATTGAAAGTGATTTGATTATGAGACAAAACGGTATCAACACTGGAAACTATTATAATATACATATGGTACACATTGTGAGGGTGCATAGTTAATCCCCTACGACTTTGTTTGTCAAGACAACCAAATTATCAATGGTCATGATTATGTTTATAATTTGTCGGATATATTATATGTCAATCATTTTTTTTTTTTCCAAATCAAACAAAAACGGCCAGATTAATTTATATGAAATGAAATGATGATTTCTTTTTTATTTTATTCCAATGTTTAGTTGAATTAAAACGAAATTCTGGAATATCGTTTTCAGGCTACACAAAACTCTCAAAGCTCATCATCACTTCCGAAACAACAATCGGGTAAGATTCAATAACACTACAAACCCAAACTTATGAACCTAGAATTTATCCAGAAAAACATGGACCCCATACTTCACCAATTTAATCTCCACTACACAAACATATTCAAGGTAAATTATGGGTTGATAAGGGTGAATTCATAACATTTTTGGATAAAATTTCCAAAAGCAAATTGTTTAGGTATAAAAATTGATATTATTAAAAAATAAAAATAAAAAAAAAAGAGGAGTTGAATTGATTTTTCAGGAGAGTTACATGCAGGTGGGAGAAGGGAAAAAAATTACCAACATATGAAGGTGCAAGTGTGCCTGTGGTGGTGTGCAAATTAGAGGCAATGAGAGTGCAAGTGTCATTTGCATTCCTCATGTGTTATTGTTGTTGTTTTTTTTTTTTTTTCACCTGCATATGGTTCCCTCTTAATTTTTAAGTGATGTTTTCAAAAGCAAAATGATATTTCATCAAAAACGAATAAAAGAATAATCTTATAACAACAATCTCAAGCTTAGGCATTTATATATTTTTAAATTTTATAGGTGCCTAGGCATTTATTGTTGGAAAATTTATAAAGAGGTACTTGTGAATTGAAATAGACTCCATTTTGAATGAGAGGGTGTAACCTTTCATGGTGTTTTTTTGTTTTAAAGGCAGGGTCAAACCTCTATTTGAATGAAAGGGTGCAAACCTTTCATGGCGTCTCTTTATTTTAAAGGAAGGGTTATGTCCTTTCTTCATACCTTTTCTATTCAAATTGAATAGGTGCCAACAAAGCCTATATAAAGGCAGCCCCATTCCAATTTTGATTGATTCCGAAAATTCATTTTCCTTGCCTTCATTTTGCTCTCTTGCGTCCTTTATTCTTCATATTATTTTAGGAAAAATATTTGAGAGTTAGAACACAGGTTTGGTTCGCCAAACAAATTATTTGGAGTACTACTACAATTTGTGAATATCATTGTATCCTGGGAGATAGACGCCATTCAACCGTAAGTACCGTAGCGGGGCGAATCTGTCTTAAGGACAGAGTGTCACACACTCGACTTGGTTTTTATTTTTAATTCGGTTCGATAATTAAATTCGGTATGTTATTTATTTATTTTGTTTGAATTATTTCAAGTTATTTTATTTACACAGAAGATTGTTCCAACAATCTTAAGACAGATTCGAATTATTCTGTTTACAGAATTTTTCGTTTGTTTCCTTTTTCATTCTTCGTTTATAAAAAGAAAATTATTTTCTGTGGATTTACAAAATAATATTCTGGTTGGAAAAACAAATAGTGATTATATGCTATTTGACAGAGAGTAGTAATATACTGTCTATTTTCTTTGACAACTAGTAGTACGATACTGGTGTCATTAACAATTCAGAATATATTTTTGTGGAATTTTTTCAGAAATTAATTTTGGGTTTTAGAAATTATTTTCTGAGTTTTCATTAATTAAAATACTGTTACAGTATTTTAATTATTGGAGTGTTACAAGAGATTTAAGTTTCTGTGTGAAATTAATTTGGTTAAATAAAATT